TATTCAAAATCACATGTATATGTGATATAGTATTTTAAGGTTTATGCACATAGATGTAGTTTTGCCTCTAATAATAATCATCTTTTATAATATAGAACATGCTGATTTATTTTACATTGAAGGGAGTATGGGACATCTTTCCTGTTTCTTTTGCTTTTGTGAGGATTCCTTTGCGGAGAATGAAAATAATGAGTTGTTGTGTGGTAAATCTTCTCAAGGATGATTTAACTACCCAATTTCCAGGCACTCTCATGTAGCCCTCAGATACATCTTAATTTGAAGCAATGACAAAGATATCTCAGCACCCGCTATTACAAGGTGGTACTAATAAAACATAGCTAACCGTAGGGAGCAGATAGGGATGTTTTATGACCAGTAGGTGACTGATTGCCTGAATAATAAGTAGAACCTCATTTCATTGTGATGGAATAACTTGATGCAAGAAGTATTTTTCTAATGTCAGTAATTCTAAATGAAATGTAACATTAAATAGTATTGGGTTCTTCAAATGCACCATCTATTATATTCAGGATAGAAACTTTGGTTATTACATACAAATTGAAGCTGTGTTTACTACCTTATCTATCGTCTCTATTTTAATAGATGTAGTAAAACATGGTGTAACTTCACATTATCTTCTCAAATACTTATTTACATATATGTATACATGTGTACTAGTATGTAAATCTTTATAAATATACTCATTATTAATGTAAATACTTACATATTGATAATTTATTTTGTTTTTTAATAAATTGAAAGTTATATTTATTTATTTACTTATATATGAATGTTTTGCCTGCCTATATGCATGTGTACTATGTCATTTCTGGTGTCTGTTCTGTGAAGGTCAGAAAAGTAAATCGAACTCCCTGGAACTGGAATTGTGCATATTTTGAGCCACTATGGGCATGATGAGAACTGAACTTACATTCCCTGCAGGAGCAACAAGTACTTTTAACTGATAAGCCATCTCTCCAGACCCTTATTTTAGTTCTTATGTTGTGTGTGCTTGTAGATGCCAGTCCAAGTGACTGTGTGGACTCATGTGTGCACAGGTATGGGAGGCCAGAACCTTGGGCATTAGTCCTCAGAGTCATCCATCTTTCTTTTTTATACTTTTTCTTAGATACAGTATCTCTCATTGGCCAAGAGCTTAACAGACAGGCTAAACTAGCTGATCCAGGAACTCCAGGAATCTACCCGTTGTTTCTGCCTTCTGAACACTGGAATTGTAAGCAAGTATCTTTATGCTCAGTGTGGATTCCGAGGACTTCACACTTGTATAGCAGCCACTTTATCCAACAGCAATTTTTCCAGTTCATCCACAAGTGATTTATCATTTAACATACAATTTATTACAAATAATTAGTCTTAACTTGTGTTTAACATGAAATTTGTCATTTATATTATCCTATGTGCTTATTAGATACATAAACTAACTACAGTCAACAATGACATCAAGGAAACTAATCTAACATGACTAATGAAATATGCCAAGAAAGTAATTACAGGTTCAAATACTAATTGTACATTAAACTATTCTAAAATTGATTATGGGATATTACAGGATAGTAATAGCAATCAAGTTGAAACAGTAATTGCTCATCATATCATAGTTGATGGTGAAGTAAAAATGATATCAAAATGTATTAATAGAGGTAACTAATGTTCAAATAAGTTTAAGCTGTCACATTTGATCCACCCCAAAGATCATAACTGACTAGGAGCCATTTTCAGATGCCACTTTAACAATCTAAGTGGTCCCAAGAAAAGTGAGTGTAAGTTATTTATTATAACTTTTGGAAGGGTAGAGATGATAATTTTGATGATGGATTGAGTCATCTTTTATATTTTATGTGTTGATTATCATTTGTTTTAGGATGCCATTTTTTATTCTCTGAAAATTTAGTACATATATGCAATGCATGTTGGTCACATCCACCCATGTATCATAGAACTTTGCAGCTGTTATTTGCTGGCATGCATTAGAAACAACTAACCACCCGAGATACTAAAAATGGACTTGAGGTAAACTCAGCAAGAGCCCTCTCCTTCTCAACTTCTTAGCCCCTTAAATTTTGTAAAAAAAGGCATCTTTGAGGTCCCGACTTTCTGATTGACTTGCTCCTCCTTTTCACAAGATCAGATCTGGCCAATGTGGGACAACTGGGTAATTCTGAACATATAGCTAGGATCAATGACAGTTCTTGAGTTTTCTCTGTTCTCGGGTGCAGGAAGTTGGAGAGACTTACACATGGGATCACTGGTCTCTTGCTGTTGCATGTTTGCAAAGTCTCCAACAGCTGTTGGGTCCAACCTTGGGCCTACACTGATCTCTAAATTTCTGCAGACTGGGAATTGCAGGATGGGCCTAGTGTAGCTCTGGGGAACCTTCAGATGATTTTTGATGGGTACCTAGTTCTGGGAAGCACCCACAGCCAAGGTTAACTCTTTCCTGCTTATCTTGCTCAAGAGGTATTTGTAGAAATCTATTCACCATTCACAGAGTGAAAGCAGCATTCAAGAGCCCACTGTGCCTCAATTACTTTGGCCACCTTGACTCAACACTCTGAGATATGGTAGGACACCTTCTGCCCTAACAGACTGTGGGAGTTTAGCCTCTCTTGGTAATACTTCTGATGTTAATGACCCCCCCCCCAGTATTCTGTCACTGTCCTTAAAATGGTGAGTAATGGTAACTGATCTCTGCTCCTCTGCCTGTCGCCCTGCACACTATGAACACAGTGAAAGAGGAAGGTTATAGTAGACTGGCTTTCCCCTGTCCTGGGTCTATTCTCATAATACTGCTCAGATGTAGAAAGAGTAAAGGTCTGAGCTAGAAGAAGATCCATTTTCCATTCACTTTGATGTTCCAAAATGCCATCTGATTTTATTTTATTTTATTCTGGGGACCATACAGTCACATTAGACATCCTGTTCACCTGAAGCCTCCTAAGTCATCACGTAGCATAGCAGTCAGCTCTTCCCAATGGCACCACCTAGGCATAAGAGGTTTGTCCATTGTACTCTATCATAGACTGCTTCCTAGTATTCTGGTAGCTAATAAGTAGGTGGCCTTGGACAGGGAACTCATAGTGACAAAAAATATTATTTTTTTCTCCATTTAGGTGGTAGTCTGATTTTTTTTGTTCTGAAATCACTTTTTGATCAAGCACACATAGGAGTGACTGCTTGGCAAGTTCTTCCCTGGTTGTAACATTATTTTCCAAGAATTCTTTGCTTAAATTAGAAATGAAGAAGGGATGCAAGATGAGACATGAGACTAAGAGAATACATTAACCAGTTTATTATGTCACGGAGAGCGAGTGAGAGAGAAATAGAAGAGAGGAGGAGAAGAGGCAGAGAGAGAAGAGAAGTAAAGAGAGGAGAGAAGAGAAGTAAAGAGAAGAGAGAGAAGAGAGGCAAAGAGAAGAAAGGGAAGAGAGAAGAGAAACAAAGTTAATGGCTGACCTCCATGTGCTACAGAGAGAAGTGAAGGGAGGAAGACAGAAGAGGCAGAGAGAGAGAAGCAGAGAGAAGAGAGAAGTGCAAAGCAGGGAAATTAGAACTTTTAAAGGGAAGACTGTGCATCCGCATTGAGGTTCCATGCATGCAGAGTCCTCACGCAGGCCTTAATGCCTGATGGGTGAAGTAGTATGTCCCTGTGCGTGCCCCGACTGTTGTCAGGGGGCAGAATCTGTCTCTTAAAGAGGTAGAGCTGATTAGCATTAAAGCCTGAACATTTCATTTTCAATACATCATTTGTAAACTTGTTTCATGGTTTTTCTTTACCTCTTCTGTATTTTGTCCCTGTTAATGTGCTATAATTATCTTCTTCAGAGTAATAGCCTTTGGAATTCATGCCAAAACTCTATTTCCCATCCTTTCTGGCTGTCAAAGTCAATGCAGTCATCTTCAGAAATAAATAAGAAACAGGATGAAAGGAATGTTTGCCTTTTTAGTCCAGTACCAGGAGATAATATAGGATCACGGGAATTGAGAGATGTTCTTAGGGAGTCAGATTTCTGCTCAATAAATAAAGATTTTTTTTGGTCACTAGAGATGCGCAAAATCAAAACAGACTGCTATATAAGGCATTAAACTTACTGAGATTACTTTCAGGTCTCCTATCTTTCACACAAGGAATAGGGGTATAGCTAAGGATCAATGTGCATAGGAAAAAGGTTAGCATAGTTTTAAGTGACGACTATAGCTTTTACAGTACTTGTAGGCCACACATGTAAAAAAAAAGAGAAAATATGGCAGTAGTAAGTAAGGTTGGGGCCATGATCCTAAACAGCAACTATCTGAAAAACTGAAGCCAAATACTAGGTCAATGATTTTGTAAGTCATAAAACCCACTGGTGTGGTATCTGAGTGAGACATGGCTGATTTGTGAATGCACCAAGGATGTAGGGTGTCAGACACTCATGTTCACCAAATATGGACCTAGGACAGTGACTGTAAAGATGGACCTGGGAAAGTGGCTGCAAAGATTTTTGTCTCATGCTAGTGAAGATTAAGGATGAAGATTCTTGCAGGAGTCAGGTGAAGGTAAGCTTTATTAATGCAGTTTATAAAAAAATAACATGTTAAGAAAAAATGAAGAAGATACCCAAGACATAAAGTTTTAAAATAGAAGTAAAATAACCTCTTAGTGTTGGGGAAAGTGGGGTCAAGTAGGTGGCCAAGGCAAAATGGTCATGGGGCCTCTTGCGGAGAAATGAGGAAGACGGTTGTAATGTGATTATTTGGTCAATTAGAAGACACCACATTTGATGCATGTCCTGAACCAACCAGAGAGAAGATAATGGTTTGATAAGTATTGTCTGCCCAAACAAGGGTAATGAAGCCACTCCTTTGTCTATCACTGACTTTGTTAGATAGACTTTCTGTATCTCCAACTTTTGACATTTTGTACTAGTTATTAGTCTGCAGGTGCTGCTTTACGGTGCAGGTGTCTCAAATGCTGTTAGTTATGTTAAGTTCTCTTTGTTGCCACAGCTAATAAGAAGTGGCTGCATTTGTTTATATGACAAGCTTTTATTTAAATATAATTTTTAGCAGTAACAATGCAGAAATACACAAAAGTCAATAGCTTTCAAGAAATAAGTATATTAATATAGCATAAAATATACATTTATTTCAAATGAATACATAAAATTGGCATTTTATTTGGACTTATGATTATCTTCTAATGATTGGCTGTTTATTTTATGTAACATCCTAAGTGATTTGTTTTGATGTCTATAAAGAGAAACAATTTGATGTTCTGCTGATGGGAAAGAATATAATTTAGCAATCAGTATTCAAATTTATTTTAAATTACGTTAGTAGACATAGGGAAATATTAAAAAGAAATTAGGAATTTCTCTCCATTAGAGTTTTAGTTAGAAACACTTCATTAAATGACAACTTCAAAGTAAATAGGCAGGCAATTATGTGTCTCTACTAATCACACTAGCTGGTAAAATTGTTTCCCCACTTCTCATTTTCAGTTAGCTCCACAAAATGATGTTATCTATAAGATAATGCTTGCGACTGGAAAAAAAAATGAGGAAGGCAAATAAGCAACCTTAATTGCCAATAACATTTACATCTAGTGCATTCTAATTTACAAATCAGCTTAAAAACTTAACAGCTTCTCATATTATAAAGGAAGTTGGTTGATCCACTTTTTCATACTGATAAGTTGAAAACATAAGCACATAAGGAAACGAATGCTTGAAAATATTTAATGACTACTTTCCTCCCATTGCTTGAAATTTCTTGTTTTTATTTCAATTTCATGGATATATTCAGATTATTATGTAATCATCTGTGATTTCTTTTTGTGCTTCAAGAGAAATTAAGTTTCTTGTCTTTTTTACAGCAATGGTATTTGAATGAACAGTTAAAGAGTAAGATAAACTTCAGCAGCTAGCAGGATGTATACTGATTTTTAGGCTTACTATATTTTTTATTATTTGGTAAAAGAAAATACTAGAGTACTATCAGATTTTCTGATCATATCAGTGAAAACTAATTTATTTCCCTTTAGAAAGACAGTCAAACTGCTGTTACAAAATGACCAATATTCTGTAGAGTAGCATATCTCCATACAGCGAACCTATGTACAGATGCTTGAATACACAACCAGGGCAAGGGACAAAGAAGATATGCAGCTAAATTTTTCATATGAATTTCTCAAATCAAATTTATATTTTTGTCTATATAGAAGTTATGAAATATATGTTTATAAGTTTGTGTAAGTTTATATGAATTACACATGTAGTTCATTGGAAAGCAAAGTCATTATTGTTTTCAAACCCATCACCCAACTGTGAACCCTACAGAGTACAATGACTGGTTTGACAATATAAGCCTATTGGAGCAATAATGGTATAAATAGAAGTAACTAACCACTTTCTAAATATACAAGTTTATGCTCATGTTTTGATATATTCAAGCAAAGCAAAACAGAAAACAAAGAACCAACAAAAAGAAATGCAAAGCTTCTTATATTTCACTTTCACCTATATAAAATGGTGTTTCCATAATAAAGGAAACTGTTTGAACTTTGAATTGCACTAATCAATAGAGTAGGCTCTAAAGCACTTCTCTCTAAAAGAGAAATTATACGGTTAAGTCATATAAGATCACTTATTTTTCAAGACATACTCACCAAGCTCTTGTACATAGCTATTGTACATCAAAATGTGCATTATTTGATTATCTACATGCACATACATAAATATCATATCATAGGTGGCTAGAAAGAGTTCTGCTCATGAAGCAAGATACATTTTTCATACTGAGAAAATGGAGGATAGATAACTTAATATAGTTCTTTAAAATTATAACTTAAAATGGCCACTCAAACAATTCAACTTAAATGCTTCATTTTACACATAGGAAATCTTGTTTCAAAACTTTTCAATACTGTACCATAACTAGATATCAATTTTTAAAATACCATCGTTGCTTTCTTTGCAGGATTCTTGTAAATAATACATGAATCCTGATTCATAAAGAAGTTTCCACAGAGAGCAAAATCCCTATAAACATCTGGAAACAATCCTGCTTCCTTGAGAGGGCATGAACTTGGGATAAAACATACTTGGATTAAAATTCTCTGTCTTCTTATTATGGCATTAACTCCATTGATGTTTCTCATTTTAATACTTTAATTATTGTGATAAGACTTAGGAAATTATTCCAATACTTCATGATCAATCACCCATCTGAACGTTCATCATTTAATATATTTGTCTTGTCATTAATTACTTAATAATTTGAAATGTTTTTATAGAGTAGCTTTTCTCTTAGAATAAAGCTCAATAATGTTTTTGAATTTGAAGATGGTGTATATAGCAATACAGTGAAATAGAAATTAATACAAGAAAGAGTAAGTAATAAAAACTCAACAGACATTTTACATATGAAGATGGTCATTACAGTAATCAACTAAGATTCCTAAGTTGTACTGAATGAACAAAATTGTTGAGTGAATTTTTATTTTCTAGCTTTTGACTGAAACTGACCAACAATAAGCTAATAAATACATGAATGGAAGGTTGCTAGTGTGTTGGAAGCTAGGCCAATGCAAAGCTTTCTTCGAAGTCCTGATGTATGGAGAAGGAATGTACTTCCTTGTCTGAAACCAGGAATGTGCTTGACAAGGACAGTAATGACCTGGCGCCATGTCCTTGTGGGAGTGGATTTGGGATCCTGGGAATTCAACTCTTTCCTTCCAAAAGGCTGTGGTTATGAGTCCCAAGAACCCCGTGGGGCTAAATCTGTGATACACTTGACATGTCCTGTGTTCCCATTGTGCAACATTGCTTGGTTGGTTTCCTCTTGACTTTGTTCCATTGTATGGTTGCTCTCTGGTGACTCTGTCCAATTTCCTCCCTGAAAATTAGATGCTGTAAATTAGATGCTGCACTTCTTATATAAACTCACTTGGCATAAGCCATCAGCTTACATATGAACTTCTGATCTCAACCTTCCTATCTTATTTTCTCATCCCTAGAACTTCCCCTCATGAATGTGTCACTAAAGAACAGCTTGCTTGCCCTGGTTACTGGGGACCTTATTAAAAATCTCCTTAGAAAGATTACAGTAGGACTGCTGGTGTCTGCAACACAATCTATAAATCTGTCTGTCTGTCTGTCTGTCTATTTATCTATCTAAAATCTAAAGTCAAGGAATAAAACATGTGAATGCTTATTTTTGCTGGATATTACTAAAAAATAAATGAACAGTTGAGCCTTACCCTTGGATTAAGACAGAATGGAGAAGAGATACTTATATAAATATAGGGCAAGCTGGGCGTTGGTGGCACATGCCTTTAATCCCAGCACTAGGGAGGCAGAGGCAGGTGGATCTCTGTGAGTTCAAGGCCAACCTGGTCTCCAGAGTGAGTGCCAGGATGAGCTCCAAAGCTACACAGAGAAACCCTGTCTCAAAAAACCAAAAACAACAACAAAAAAAAAAGAAAAAGAAATTGGGCCTTGGAAATGAGAGAACCTCATTCTCTTTGGAATTTGCTTACATCTTCAAGAGAATGATACAATCTCTGCAAGGCATGGCATTGGGACTTCTGGTCCAATGTACTTATTAATCCAAGAGCAGGAAGTACTTGGGGGACACATCATCTTCCTTTGATAGGAAGATTTTGTGAGATAAAGAACACAAACATTGGAGTCCGGAACATTTTACAATGCCTGCACTGGTAATGATAACGCCATGGCTCTTTGTTTCTGCCTTTGAGCAGTGGCTTGCTGGTCTCTGCTAATCAGATTGGAACTAAAACTTAACCCCAGATGTCAGATTCCCATTCATAAGACATCTTTTCCTTAGAATTTGTAATTGGAATAATGAGAATAATTTCTTATTTCTGAGTTACCAAATCTTGTATGTACCTACAGACACAGCCTCATACGGACACGAAAAAAGGGAAGAAACTGAGAGAAGAGGGGGTAAGATGGAATATACTCAGCAAAAGCATGTCGAGCTGTTTCAGTTTAAAAATGATTATATTTCCTGGTGGGTATATTTCTTCTTTTGTATGTAAGCTATCAGCATCAAGAATTATGCAAAAAGGGGAGAACATTTGATTATCTTATTCAGGGCACTAGTTACTGAAGATCTGTCTATCATGTTTTTTTCAATCCTTGATTGCTAAGCCATTTATTTCATCATGGATTTCAAAGAAACAGTTCCATTCCTTGTGTATAAGGTTCAAGTAATGCTATAATATTATTTTGTATCTTGGAGGGCAGCATTCCAATATTATAATAGTTCTCCAACTAGCCCCACAACTAGGTCTAGGAGAGGTCATCTCAGCCTGCATTATATCTGCCTGATGGGACTCATAATAGACTGCTGACTCATATGCACCTCACTTATTTTGCAGGAAAAATAATGAGTTTCTCAGAGAGAAGCAATACTGCATTTGAACACTGTAATAAGGAATAAGGCACAGAATAGTAACACTGGAAGGATCTTGGTGGTGTAGGCAGGTATATCCGTATCCAGAACAAGTCTATGTTGCAATAAAGAACCTTCAATCCTCCACAGGCAGGGATTCTATGTAATCAAAATCTACAAGGTGTTCGGTCAATCCGCTAAATAATAGTAATGCATTATAAATTTGGCTTTAGCTCATGATGCTGGTAGGTACGTGGTACAACAACTTATGTTCAGATGAGGACTGTCTTTGAGATGTGGGCCCTAACTTTAGTAACCTTGCCACTTTGGTTACTTTTTCCAGAAATTATAGGAGAAGTTTGAGAGATACTCTACAAAATTGAGGGCATCATCAGCTAGATTCTTTTAAGAGTTCCTTATGCAACAGGGGCTTGTGCTGAGCAGTGGGAGTTGCTTTTACCAACTACTAAGAATTTGGACTTACCAAGAGTTAAGATTCGGGATAAGGGAGATGGAACAAAGCAAGAAGAGAATACATAGGTATAGAGGTACGTGTACATGCATGTGTCCTCTGCCACTGGACACTGAAAACCCCTTCGTTTACTTCATTTGAAACTGGAGCACTGTACTGATGTTATGATTTGGTGGATCAGATAGCAGCTCATTTGATGGAGGTCAGATTGGTCACATAAACAGCATGCTGTTCTAGGTCAGGTATTTGATCTCCACCAGAGCCCAGGGACATACCTAGGAGCTGATTTTCAAAATGTCAATATGTCAGTTGTGTAATGGTCAATTGTGTAACAAAAGCCTTGTTGTAATAAGACAAAGAAAAGCCAGAAGAGCTTCCAGAAGTCTGTCTCTCAGCTCACGTTTCTTTTCATCTGCCTTTCCAACTGGCCTATCAGTGTTGCTCTTTACGGCCGATACTTTAGAGCAGAGTTGAATTTGTTGAGTCTTTAGGCCCTAGAACGAAAATGCTTTACTTATGTCATACCTATACCAGCCTCAGAAACATATCTTGCTCCAGTATTCTTTTTCTCCTACCGTGTAACAAATTTTATAAAATTATGAAGGCATAAAATAAAAATTATTATCATGTCGTTCTATAATTTGAAAACATAAGATGACTGTTACTGAGCTAAAACCAAGTTGTCTTGGAACTACTTTGTTTTCTACAAGCCTCAGTTGAGAGTTCATTTCCTCATCTGTGCTGGTTAAGAGGCTGACCTCCTTTCCTGTCCTGTGTGAACTCCTGGTTTTCCTGTCTTCAACCACAGGCATGCAGGCACACTGTATCTCTTTAATTCTCTCTGGGGTTTTTATCATCCTCTCTTGTTTGGAGGAACAGAATCCAGTTTCAACAATCCACACATTAGACTGGGCCTATCTGTAGAATGCAGACAGACATCCAAACTTGAAGTCCTTAACTGTATTTGTAAAATTCACGACATTTACAAGTAGTGTAACATATTCATAGATTCTCTGGAATGTGGCGCTCTGAATAGCCATTATCATGTCTGGTGTCAAAGCCACCTGTTAGGTGACCCGCTGCATTTTGTTCTCTGAAGGGCACATTGCCTTCTAGATCTGCAGCTGGTCATTAAATATTGTATCATAAAGATACAGACAAAGCAGCTTTAATCCTGTAGCATTTCTAGAGCCACCTGAAGATGCAGTTCTGAATTTTCATGCGTATTTCATATCCACACACTGAGAATACACACCACCACCTCCTGCTTATCAGGTCTTATTAGAATGAGGCCATAGAAACACTAGGCTAGTATGACATCATTTGTGGTGATGCAATGGTGGAGAGCCCTGAATATTAGACTATGGCACAAGTTTAGAAACCAGATAGTTTCAAAGCAAAAGAATGAAGATTCACCTCTGCCAAGGTGGTTAATAACCACAGTTGTGTTCGGAGGACATTGACCTGTCAGATTAAAGTTTGGGTACTGAATAAGAGCAGCTATGACCATGCTCTCAAAATATTAGCTGCAACTCCCGCTTCCCACAGTTTACAGTTCAAATGGTTTGCTAATCTGTATGATCCAGCCTTTCATAAACCAAAAAGGCATGATATAAAGATGTTTCTTTAAAGAACCTGATAACTGTTAAAGCAGGGGGCAGGGTCTTGGCCATGCCCCAATGTAATGTGTCAGACTGTCAATTCCCCATGGGAGCCCTTACCTGTTGGGGGGAGTGGATGGGGAGTGGGCTTGGGGGGAAACCAAGGGGACAGGAGGAGGGTTGGGAGGGAAAACTTTTGTGGAATGAAAAATGAAATTAATTTTATACTTAAAAAATTTTTAAAGAAAATAAAATAATATTTAAAAGCCCTGTAAAATAGTTCCATCTTTGTCCTGAAATAATCCTTGAAGGTTTTCCATCATGGAGCTTTTGAATACAAATTTTTGTTTCTTTAGTATCAAAAATTCATGTTGTGTCATTGCAAGACTGGATCCTAGAACACACTTCTAACCATGTGGCAGAGAGAAACACAGCTTACAAACCACATTAGCAAGCCTTCTGGGGGTGATTTACAATTTAATGAAAGGAGTTTTTATTGCTTTGTTTTTCCTTATTTTTCATGTTAGGGATTAGTCTTAGGACCTTGTGCATGGCATGCTATCGCTTTTACCACTGATTTTCATCCCTAGTCTCAAATAGTTCTCATTCTTAAATTGAATGTATTGATTTACTAAATTTGATGGAACTTATTTTAGAAAAATGTTACCCAGCTAGACATTCCTAATGAGTAGCTGCCAACAAAGTTTTGTAAATAAAACGAACACAGTTTTGGCAAGATGATGCCTTAGTACCCAACTACTATCTATTTGTAAAAAAAAAATTAATTTATTACATGTACTTTATCTAAATACATCTTGAATATGTGCAAATATAATTATATGCATACTCATTTTCCTCAATATATTCTTATACTATTATATGTGAATAGATGCAAACCATAGCATGCAAAAAAAAAAAAAAGAAGAAGAAGAAGAAGAACATGATACCAGAGGAGAAAACACGAGCCTGCCCTGCACCATTAAGAGTGAGCAGGAGAAGAAGATTCACACACCTGCCCGGGGCACAGAGGAGAAAACACTGGTCCATATGGTGAACAAATATACGGTGGGGTATGGGAGAAACAGAATGGTTCATGTCCTGTGGAGAGAGGCAGATCTGAAGAGGCGAAAGCTCTCAGGACTGGGCTGAGGTGGGTGGCGCTTGCCATGTGGGGCCATGGCGATGTTCAGGCCTGGACTGCTGCTGCCAAGGGCCATGTCTGGTCCCTTGTCACAGCTGCTGTCCATGTTGATGTCAATGGCTCCTGACACCACTGAAAGCTGAGAGGTTAGGGATGCACAGAAGCAGCCCCACCCCTCACTGGCTACAACACTAGGGTGAACTGGTCCTGCCCTTCACCAGCTGCAGCACTCCTCCGAGCAGATCCTGTACCTCACCTGGGCAGAATGACAGAGAGGAACCTGTTGGCAGGGGCACAGGTGACTACGGAAGGTCTGGCCAAGCCACTCGACTGCCATATGGTGAATGTGGGAGGGAGAGATGCCCCTCCACCACCCCTCACTACCTTCGGAGGATGAGACAGCTGGCCCTGAGGTCATGAAAATAGGAGAGCTGGCCTGACATCTCACAGGCTACAATACTAGAAAGAGCAGGCCTTGCACCTCACCCTCACAACACAGTAGAGAGGGTGAGCCATCCCCTATATCATGAGTCTGAGAGATCCAGCCCCATCCCTTATCTGCCATATACAGGAGAACTCCCACCATCTCTTGCTGGCAGGTGAATAGGGTGAGCTAGCTGGGGTAGTGCTGGTGGTGAAGATGAGGGAAAACTGACAAGGCAACCAAGCCAGCAAGCACCCAGGCCCAGAACCAGGGCATTGAGTTGGCTCACCCCTACATCCATCCCATCCATCCCATCTTCTGCAGCATGTGAAGGAGCAGGTCCTTCAGACCCACAGCTGCAGGATCTCCACACACAGGGCAACAACAGGATATTCAAGAGGAGTCCCAGTGAGGGACCAGCATCGATAGGATAGCAGAAGCTAGAGGCCTTGAACCAGACTGACTCATTGCAAGTAGTGATATATAACTGAAGGTGTGTACTGTGTGACTCACTGTGTCTCAATACAGCTTCCATGATGAGATATTTTTTCTTTTATCTTTTATTTTGGTTTGTTGTGGCAGGTGGGGGGGTTATTGCAGGGGCAAAATGTGGATTGGGGGGCTGGGGAAATGAATAGGATTGAGATGTATGATGTGAAATCCACAGAGAATAACTGAAGGAAAGAAATGAAGAGAGGGAGGAAAGAAGGAAGGAAGGGAGGAAGAACCTGGATTTATTTTTCCAATTTAAAACAAAACAAAATTATCATGGATTTATACCAGATAAGCATCAGGAGTTGTATGTCCCTATTAAAATTACAAGAACAAATGTGAGGCCGCATCTCTGGGGAAACTATATCAACTCTACCCTTAGAGACTTGGGAAGGATAGTTCTATAGTTTATCTGGACCCAACTCTAGTGGTTTAGCACCATGTCTTTATCATATGACTTCAATACTCTTTTTAGCAGATAGATGCATAAAATTCCCAGAACAAAAGTAGAAAGTGTTATGTTTCCTATATTTAACATTTTTTGATTTCCAAATTTAAGTTTGTGTCACCTACTTTTTAACATATTAATGTAGCCTGTATTTGAGCACACTGATTCTCTCTTGCGTTTGATGCATTCTGCTAATGCTGCCTTCTATTGCACTTTTAAATCAGCTAAGTATATTTTTTAGTCCAAGGATTTCTGTTTGGTTTTCACATTTTTGTCTCTATCAATCAAGTTGAAATCTTGTATTGTTGAAATTACTTTGTGATGTTTCCTTGATTCCCACCAAGTTTCTTGGCACATAATACCCATGTTATGTGCTCTGATCACTTAGCACATACATTTCTTTCTGCTTGATTCTGACAGGTTATTTTGATACTTAGCTGAGATCATCACTTCCTGAAAGTTCCTGAAGCTTGGTTTTTAGGCAGCTGAACCTTTGAAATATTAGATATTTGCTGTAGTATTAGTAATCTGGATTTATTATTCCATCTTTGCTGAAATGTTATACAACCCATAATTTTCCGAACCTGCTTCTTTCTTTTCATCACTAGAGGGAGATATAAGCCCAGGTTTTCAGTAAAATTGACAGAAGGGTTAACACTCTTCTAGCACTAGAGAGAGATCCAACCCCAGCTTTGTCCCAAGTCCATAATGGTTATATTACTTATCTTAGTTCTTAGGATACCTAAAAACTTAAACTTTCTGCAAAAGTATCTTTGAGTTATGGAAATAACAGACTCAGGATATGATGATGTATCTGTGGCTACTAAGGCTGTTAAGACTGCCATACCCAGAGTTCACAGACATTCCACAACACTAGGGTAGAGCCAAATGTTGCCTTCTGCCCAAAACTATTACAAGCAATCTCAGGCCAATGCTAGTGGCCCTTGACAAAATGAGACCATGAGTCTCTGCATGGCATTGTTACTTCTTGGAGCTCTATTGGCGAGTACTGGCCTGAAAACATGGTGGTATGTTACCACTCTGACTTTGCATTTCAATAAAAAAATTCTATGCTAGCTACTTTGCTCATCCCTAGAGAAAGGAGTCTGGCTATATACTATATTTTCCAATGCTGGGGTGCTGTTGATGATCCCTGAACCTTTGACCAACATTCCAAAATCTATGTCTGTGAGTATTTGCCCAGGGACCCCACTCTTGGAGTTGTGCTTCAAATCCTCATAGTGGAGATGGTATGAGGTGTTTTGTTTAGACTTGTATTTAATATATTTTTTTCAATAAACAAGAAGTTTGCCTCTCTAATCTCTGTGGAATTGTGGCACTGTGGTAGTTTGAATGTAATTTGCTCCCATAGGCTCATAGGGAATGACACTATTGGGAAGCATGGCATTGTTGGAGGAAGTGCATCACTGTGGAGGTGGGCTTTGAGGTCTCCTATGTTCAAGATATCACCCAGTATCTCAGTTTACTTCTACTCCTTGCAGGATCAAGATGTAGCCCCTTCTCCACTCTCTGCTCCTTCTTCAGAAACCATGTCTGCTTGCACACTGCCCTGTACTGCCATGATGATAATGGACTAAACCTCTGAAACTGAAAGCCACCAAATTAATTGTTTACCTTTATATGAGTTACTGTGGTCCTGGGTGTCTTTTCACAGCAATAGAAACACTAACTAAGACAGAAGTTGGTACCATAGACTGTGGTGTTACTGTGATAGGTCTGACCATGTTCTTATTTGGAGCAATTTGGATTTTTGTCATTTCAGGTTAGGAAAGCAGTGGGATAGTTTAAGCACTGTCTAGTGGGCTATGCTAACAAAAGTATGGAAGAAAGTGATGCGGAGAATAATTAGAATTGTGAGGGGCTGGATCAAAAGGTTTCAGAAGAAAAGAATTTCAGTATGTTGCCTAAAGGTCTTTCTTGTGATATTTTGGTGAATAAAAATGGCCGCTATTTTTGCCCATGCCCCAAAAGTCTGCCTGAGGCTAAAATAAAGAGATTTGAAATAATTTACTGGCAAAGGAAATCTCAAAACAGCCTAGTATAGACTCTGTTGTGTAATTACTAGTGTTCATGCTTATAAAGATTTATAATCAAAAGGCACAAGCTGAGCAAGGAAAAATACAAAATGTAATATTTGAGGAGAAAAGGAGCACCAGAAAGTAGAATGGAGCTAAATTCTGTGTTCAAGGAGATAAACAGATTAAGAAATGGAATGAAGTAGTAACCCCAGGGCAAGATTCCACCCAGCTGTGTTTCCAGCTTCTGAAAGGGAATTAAGGAAAAGCCTAGAGCCAGGTGTGATGTGAATACCTAAAATCCCAGCATTTGGAAAGCAGAGACATGCCAGCATACAGGCAGACATGATGCTGGAGTAGGAGCTACGTCTCTGTTGGCAACTTTCTGAATTACTTTATATCATAATAGGAACAAAATGGAAAAAATCCTCCAGCATGCAGAACCATGAATATCTGAGATTTCCCTGTGCTGCTAACCTCAACCACCACCTCATCCAAGGTGCTAATCAGAAAATTGGTGTTTTATAATACCTGGAGCTTTTGCCTACCTTTTGCATTGCACTTGCTCTTCCTTCCACATGGGATAACCTTTCTTGCCTTCTGTTCTTCATTTAGATTTGCATGTGGAGACTGTCAGATCTGACTTTTCTGTAAAGTTGGCTGGTGTGTGATCCTACATTGCTTAACTTCTGACTTCAGAACATCGGCTTTTCCCAGGTTCCTCTCATGGAAGATCATGTCTGTCTTGTTCAATAGCATTTGGTATTAAAGAATCAGAAGAAAATAGCATTTTAGATTATTTGTTATCCTAGAAAATAATGGTTCTCATTAACTAAGTAATGATTCTTTTTCAGTTTAATTATTTTTTAAAGTGATAATAATCAGAATGAAATTCTGTCCTCACCCACTAAGAATATTGAATAAATCAATAAAGGTATCAAATTAAATAAGACATAAAGTCTAGAATCAATATGCAGAAATTGACTTTGGTATGAAAAGCTGAGCACAAAATTGAAAAAAATAATATACAGTAGTAAATTAGATGTGGTCAAAGATTTTAGGTTTGGGGAGGTAGCTCAGTAGTAAGGTTGCTTGGCTAACATATTCAAGACACTAGCTTCTATCCGCTGCACTAAACAAAGTTTTTAAAATGTACTTGGGGCTATAACAGAGTGAGTTATTGCCCAGTGACACTTTTCCTATGTTATTTGTTCTTCATGTTTTAGGAAAAACATGTTAAAATTATCATTGGCTTCATTAAATTTTTGTTTTGTTTAATATATTGGCCATATATTCCAAGTGTATACTAGGTAAGGAATCAAAAATTCAATGCCTTACTAGTTTAACATTATGATAGATAAGTTTGTCTGATTCCAAAGCCTTTGCTAATGTCTTCTAGTATCTGATGACTTTCTTTTCTATTTATTAAACACTTGTTGCATGCCAAACTCAAAAATCTGAATACAGAACAGCAACAGAATATAACACAGAATACATTTCAGTATGCTTCAGAATATTTTCCTGCTCTGTGAAAATACGTGGATTTTGGTTAATTTTATTGATGCTTGTACTTTCAGTATTGCTATCTTAAATTACTATCCTTTCTTCTAGGAGGCAAAATTTCTTGTGGGGAATCACCTAAGAAACTAACTGAACACTTGATAAAGAACAATTCTGTTACTGAGGAGATGGGAGAGTCCAGGGGGAAGCTGGATGGTGTGGGGAAAGAGTAAGAAAGCTTGGGGGAGGTACAAGGAGAGTTTTAAACAGGATTGATATCAAACAACCTGAGCAGAATATATTCATGTGCTTCAAATACTAACATTGACCCAAGTTTCAACTTCAGATTGTGGGAGAGGCCGCTCCTATAACCAGTTTTTCTTCACCTTGATCCCTCCATGCTTCATCAAAAATAGACATCTAGTTCTCATCCTTGGCCTGTTGCCCTTCACTCCCAAACATCTGTGCTTTCATGCAGCCACCACTGTGATTCTAGCAAAGGCAGCTGGCTGTGTTTTGTTTGCTTTTGTATCGTGGTTATTTTGTACTTTTTCAACCATGGTACTAAAAACTATGACAATTTTTCTATTAAAAAGTCATACCTTCCTAAAAATTTAGGGAAAGAAAATACTAATTTGTGCCAAAATTATCCAGTGAGTCTAGTAAAACTGCCAGTTTTGTGTTGTCTTTAATGAAAGTAAACAAATACATCAAGACAAAACTTGCCATTAATTTAATATGATAATTAAAGAGTATTATTAAAGAGTATGCCTTATTGTAGAATTAGCCTCCTATAGTTACCCTAATGCTGGACAACTTATGGATTATTTGCTCCTTTTCAGTGGAATTTCTCACTCATACAAGTAACAATCGCATGGTAGCTTCAGATAAAAATACATTGCAACTCCCCAGGAGGTTTTGCTAAGTTCAAGTAGAACTTAACTGTAATGTAGAAATGGCAAATTTCCTACCAGGTTTCTACTTTTTTAGTAAAGGGTCCACATACATTCTTTAAAAAATTGTGGATGAAAGCTTCAAGAATCATTTATAGACTTTGAGATATATTCATTCTCCCAAGCGCCAAGGAATTGGTGAAGAGTTCTGTATCAGTACATGGTCTACTCAGGCTGTTAATGGAATCATTTTCCTATAATATCTAAACTTAATTTCAGACCACATTGCAAATAATAAGGATGTATATTCTTCTCACATACTTCTAAGAGATCCTGGAGACTATGCTTATATGTTTGGCTCATTACTTTTCAGCTCTCATTTTGAATTTTTGTTGTTGTTGCTTTGGCTGGCTTCATATTGATTATTCTGGCCATGTCTTTGTTACCACATATTTTCTTTCAGCCTTTCAGGTCCACTTATTCTCAGTGTATAAACACAGAAACTTTATTGTACAAATCTAGAAAAAGATGGAGCCATTAGAATAGTAGTTGAAGCCTTGAATATGAAGAAAATGCAAATCAAATCTGATACTCCATCTTAACACCTGTCATAAAGGCTAAGATCAAAAACACAACTCATGCAGGACAGGATGTGGATCAAGGGGAACACTCCTTGCTGGTGGAGTGCAAACTTGTACAGCCACTTTGGAAATCAATATGGCAGTTTCTCAGAAAACCTGGAATAAATCTACCTCAAGACACTTGCTCAACTATGTTCATGGCAGCTTTATTTGTAATAGCTAGAACCTGGAAACAACCTTGATGGCCCTCAGCTGGAAAATGGATAAAGAAAACATGGTATATTTACATAATGGTATATAACTCAGCTATTAAGAACAATGACATCAGCCGGGCATTGGTGGCTCACGCCTTTAATCCCAGCACTCAGGAGGCAGAGGCAGGTGGATCTCTGTGACTTTGAGGCCAGCCTGGTCTTCAGAGCGAGCGCCAGGATAGGCTCCAAAGCTACACAGAGAAACCCTGTCTCAAAAAACCAAAAAAAAAAAAAAAATGAAACAATGACATCATGAAATTTGAAGGCAAATAAATGGAAATAGAAAAAAAAAATCATCCTGAGTGAGGTAACGCAGACCCAGAAAAACAAACATGGTATGTACTTACTTATATGGAGATATCAGCTGCAAAGTAAAGGATAGTCATGCTGCAATCCCCAGACCCAGAGAAGCTAGGTGATAAGGAGGACTCAGGAGAGGACACATGGATCTCCATGGGAAGGCGACATAGAATAGATTTTTCAGGTGAACTTGGGACAGACAGGGATAGAACAGAAGGTATCAGGAGGGAGTGGGTGGGAGGGACTGAGGGAGAAAGTACTGGATGAGATAACTGGAATTGTGGTGGATGGCATTTGAGGAGTTTGATGTAGAAACTTAGTTCAGTGGAAATTCCCTGGAATCTATGAGCATGACCTGTAAAGGTAACTTTCTACCAGCTGCCAGAGACCCTGTGCCATGCTAGGGCTCCGGAAACAACAGTCTTATGTTAGTTACAATGCTGCTTCCCAAAGACTAGGATCTCTCATTTGCTAGCTCTGTCCTAAGTATCAACCATAACCATTAATCTATATATTTTATAAAGACTTATCTTACCAAGGACACTGGCTGCATGAGTTCTCTCTTGCCTGGATCACATGGTGACTCTGGTCTTTACTACATTTCCCAGAATCCTCCTTCTCTCCTAGTCCCACCTATCTTGCTTCCCTATTGGCCAACAGTGTTTATTCATTAACCAATAAGAGAGACATATACACAGAAGGACTTCCCCAATCGGTGACCCTAGTGAACTCTCCTAGTCATTGGAGCTATGGAGCCTGAACCAGCCGTCTTCCATAACCAGGTAAGGCTCCCTGCAGTGGGACCAAGACATCAACTCAGCCACAAAACCTTCAACATACAATCTGTCCTGCCTCCAATATGTGCTGGGGTAATGATGATGTAGAACTTGTGGGGGTGGCCAACCAATGACTGGTCTAACTTGAGGCATGGGCCAGAGAGAGAACCATGCCTGACACTGCCTGGATGGCCTTACCAGAGGCAGACCATCCCAGAGACCCAAGATAGAATCAAACAGGACTAGGGAAAAAGTCAATGAAATTATTCCTAATAATATTCTGCTATGCTTATAGACTGGTGCCTCGCCCAGGTGTCACCAGAGGGGCATTATCCAGCAGCTGATAGAAACAGACACACAATCCATCCCCCAGCCAACACAAGGCAGAGACAGGGCAAACCCTGTAGTGGTGAAGGATTGTAGGAGCCGGAGGAGTCAAGGACACCATGAGAACATGCTCCACAGAATTAATTAAGCAAGCAGGGTTCACAGGAGGTCATAGAGACATGAATAGACAAACATGGTCTCTGTAAGGCTATGAGCTAAGTCCTCTGCATACAACTTATGGTTGTATAGCTTGGTGTTCTTGTTAGCAATGGTAGTGTGGTGTATCTCTGACTTTTTTTTTTTTTTTTTTTTTTGCCTGTTCTTGGGACCCTTCACCTTCTTCTACCCAGTTGCCTTGTCCAGACTTGATACTAGGTTTGCACCTAGTATTACTATAACCTGTCATGCTGTGTTTGGTGAATATTTCTGGGTGGCCTGTTTTTTATTTTAATTTATTTTTTAAGGGAAAGGAGTTGATCTGGAGAAGAGAGGAGGTGGGGGAGGGGCTAGAAGGGGTGCAGGGGAGGGGAATCAGAACATGGACTAAGAAGCCACCCTTCCTGAGTTTACTTACTACACATCATCATACAGAATTTAACAAAATGACGAGTTTTCTTCAGGCTTCATCTGTACAAAGGTTGTTTGGAGGGGAAATACTCCACACTGTGTTTGACAAGTTCTTTTGTCCAGTTCACAATCACTATTCTTTTTCCCTGACCATTCATCTCTTCAACTCCTACTTCAGCCAACTTAACACAAACCAGAAAAAGTCGAGGCAGAAAGACAAAAGAAAAACAGCCAAACAAACTTACCAAAAAAGAAAAAACAACAATATAAAACACACAACAGCATCCTGTCTTTGGACTTACCTATTCAAAGCTGAGGTTATCTTTCCACACCAGTAAGAACAAATGGAAAGGTCATTATAGAAAGCAGTTCATTATGTTTATCTGAGGCATCACATTCAAATTCTGCCTTAGCTTTTGCTTTTCATATTGAAAGAAATGACATTTAATTAAAAGAGTCATTTTGCTGGAGCTAGAAAGATGACCCGGGCTTAAGAGTGTGTGCAGCTCTTGCAGAGGACCAGAATTTGGTTCCCAGCATGCAGTTTGGGCTACTCACAATGGCCTGTCACTCCAGTTCCAGGAGATCCTATGTCCTCTTCTGATGTCAATGGGTACCAGCTCACCTGTGTTTGTACACACACACCCCCACACACACACACACACACACACACACACACACACACACACACACACAGAGCAAATACAAAACTAAAACTATGTTTATATAAAAACAAACAAATAAAAAGTCGTTTTGCTACCTAACACGAATTATGTAATATCACTACAATAGAAATTTCTGGACTATTTTTGTCTTGATATACTTTTCTAGCCATAATGAATACAGTATTTTCTTCTTCCTAACTAAGAATACACCCGAAGTGATGTAGAGACAGATGCAGAATGGTGAATGCAGAGTGTTGAGCGATCCAGAATCTGTTTTGCTTCACACATTTGCAAAGCTCCAGCTCTGTGGAATTCTCAACACTGCCTGTTCATTAGAATCATCTGAGGAGCTATTAAAACTCCCAATGTGCGGGCTCTAGGCCAGACCTATAAATCAAACCTCTGAGACTGTAACCCTGCATCAGTAGTTTTCAAAGCTCCCCAGGTGATTCCTCTGTGAAGCCAAGTTTGAGAATGGCTGGGCTTCGGAACACTGGAGTCCATACAAGCATGGCTGGGTAGTGGCCAGCAATTTTTTTGGTATTGTCAACAGTACTTAAGAAACCATGCCAAGAGTCATTTGAGGATGGGAACGTCAGAGAGCTTGCCCATCCAAGTTCCTTTGGGAGAGTAAGAATTATTCCTTATGGAAGGAATATCATCACTGAAGTCCATGAAGAAAATAAGACTTAAGGAAGCTCTCAAAAATGAGGGAGTAGGTGTTGGGGAATGGACAGAAAATAATTGCAATTTGCTTTCAACTAAATCTCCTTCTCTTAACTGTGAAAAAATTTGAATAAACATAATGTTGGTTTTTTAGTGTTTATTTTTTTGGGGGGGGCAGTCACAGTCATATGATCCTAGAAACTAATTCTATAAGAGGCCATCTTTCCCAAATTGTTCCTTGATTCGCTTTGTAATGATATGAAATAAAAATTTGTCACATAAATAGGATTCTCTTGTAGCCGAATTCAACATTGCCCTTTTTCCAATGAGCATTATAAGTAACACTTACCAATTTTATATGTTAGAAATAGAAAGAAATGGAATTATAATGATTATTCCTCTTTTGTAATAGTCTACAGTACTATAGACATTCACCAAACTTTTCTCTAAATATGATCTTTTCTAAAACTTGGGCACTCTTCATAAATATATAGTGAGTTCATATTGATGTTCTCAAAGATAGTCTCTTAATCCTAGTTTTGTAACTTCCCATTAGGACAAAACTAAAGAGAGTAGACAGATTAATTTATCATAGTCTAAGGCTCACTACCTGTATATAAAACTGTGAACTAAACCATTGGGAAGCAGGGTTGCTCTCACATTTTATTATGAATATGAAGTGAAAAAAAATGTTAACAGTGGGAAGAATACTTCTTGTGAAGGATTTTATTCAATCTTGTCAGTCAATGTTTGTTTAAGGAGGCGGAGTTTGACTAAATATACACAAATGAGAGAATTGTTGAGATTCTGTAGGGATAGACAGAACACAGTGGCAAAGATTTATGTGGATGGCAGGCAGAGAAGAGAGTAAGCAAGCAATTTTAATTGGTCTGTCTGACCAAAGAAGAGTTGGAAAGGATATTGAGGCATGCTAGACAGAAGAGTCATATGGGTAAGATAGTGGCAGTAGAGAACTATTGATGTTCAGCAAAGCAACTTTGGTCTCAGGATGTTTGGATTGGAATTGTAGCCTGTAACTTTATTCTGAAAGTTTGAACACAATGTTTACCCTCTCTGTAATTCAATTTCTCATCTGTAAGTTCATTTCATAAGTGAAACTCCATCTACATGTACATGCACTTACGTGCCTAATGGACTTTCATCAGTGCTTACGGAACAATAGTATTTGCTGTGATTATAGGGTAATGCACTTATTATTATAAATAATGATGCAGCTATACCTATTAAATGTTACTTATTAATGTGGGGAAATGAGCTTTGACATATTAACTAAATGTTATAATATAGAATGTGGAACAGGATAGAATGTGATATTGGTTGTACATATCAAATTTGAGATTAATATGTGACAGTTAAGGTTATCATCTTCTGAAATCTACAGGTGACTACTTGATGTTTATAATGGTTCTTTTGTCTCCCCTCTCCCTCCCTCCCTCTCTCTCTCTCTCTCTCTCTCTCTCTCTCTCTCTCTCTCTCTCTCTGCAAAGGAGTTAAGAACTCATTTGTGAAAACAAAGCTTATTGTGTATGTGTGCCATATATCCTAACATGGAACCAAAGTCTAGGACCATATAAGATTTGTAGCACAAAGGAAGTATGGATGAAATTTGCTCCTGGTTTTGAATAAGCCCAGTTATGTGTCACCAGAATGACTTTGGGAGCCTTTAAGAGCAAGGCCCTTTAGCTGTTTATATCTATGTGATAGAAAGAAGTGTGCCTAGGCTACCTAATCTCAAGTGGTTAGCCCTGGACAGGTACATATGGGTAAAACTAAACAGACTCAGTAGGATGTATATACATGGGCATTTGTATTCACCTATACATATGTATGCACATCTAACAATAGCAGTTAAAGAAGAGATTCTGAATCTGGAAGAGGGGAAGATGGCAGGAAGGTAAGTAGATGCAGTATTCATGTATGAAATTCTAAAATAAGATAATATAAATAAAATAATATATAAATTTTCTATAGAACAGAATGAGTACAAAGTATTGTTCCATCTAGAGCATAACTGAGAGATCAAATACTTCTGGCAAAAAAAACAAATGTAATTCTATCAACACAGTGCTCCAAAGTTTAGCTTTCTCCAACATAGGAATTATGGCCCAACCTAGGTCCAATTGCTACACCTGGGAGTTTTGGAAATCTGTAGTCTGGAAGCTGGGGATAGAGGGAAAAAACTGTACAAACTATAGTCTTGCTAAGTACTAGATCTACTATGAGAAAAGTTGAAGAGAGATTGGGAAAAGAAATTTGAACTAGTAAAATATTGCCTAATGTAAAATATTATCACAATTCATACTGTAATATCACAATATTTTCATAATTCCAAACCAAGAAACTATTTTTATGCATATGCATAAAATTAATGTAAGTAAAGAATAGGTATTGTTCTCTTGGATTCTTCTAAAATGTTCTTCTTATAGACTAATTAGTTTAGAATTAGCTCACATATGAACTAACATGGAACCTTCCTTGTTGCTCACATTTAAAATGTCTTTGCTCTCTCCATTTTGTTTATGATTATTTTCTTTTATTCATGTCCTTTAGTACTACTTTCAGAATAATATGTATGCTTATTCTTAC